CCCCAGCGGACCCCTCCCTTTGCAGCTCTACCCCAATCTGTTTCTCTTCAGCCCAGCCTCGCCCCATCACGAGTTTCCTTTATCTGTCCCCAGATTCCCCGTGCCTGTCTTCCCCGCCCACTGCCTCGCTCATTCCTGGGCCTGATCGCAGGAAGACCAGGAGGCGTCATGCTGCTTCTCTCTCCCACAGTGCTCTGTGCCCTGGGCTGCCAGGGACATGAGAGTTTTCCCGAGCATGGGTTGGGTGGTCAGGCATCAGCCATAAAATGTCCTTTTAATCGTGCCAACGGCTTTGTGAGGATGGTGCGACTGTGTTCACTTTTGCTGATTAAAAAACAAACACAAGACTCAAAGGGGATGAGTGACTTTTCCAAGGCCACGCAGCCAGGAGGTTATGCAGCCCGCCACAGAACCCAGGCTTTGAGCCCGAGCCCGGCGTTCTTCCCACGACGGCACAGAAGAGGCGTCCCTGGCCCAACATCTCTGTTTCATTTTGTTTTCCTTTATGGTTTCATTCCATCTTAGGTGAGTTATTCATCTCCCATGCTGCTTTCTCTGTGAGTTCCCAATCTCTCTACTCTCCTCCCTGTCACTTTCTTTCCTCTTCTTCCTTTAGTCTTTTCATCCCCTCTTCTGTCCCTGCCAGGACCACTCAGGCCAGCCTGCGGGGGGCGGGAGGGAGTTTTTGTTCCCCTGTTCCCTTCATTCTCTTAAATTCCTTAAGGTCTAGGTCCTTCGCCCTGGACTCTGGCCTACTCTAGGTAATGGTAAGAACCCACAGAGAACTTTTGCGTCAGGCATGGTTCTAAGCCGTTTACAGACACTATTTCATTGACTCTTCACAAAAATCCTCAGACAAGTACTGATCATCCCTATTTTACAGGTAGAGAAACTGAGGCCCAAGGTGACACTGCTTTAGAACCTGGGTGCATAGCCACCCACTGGACTACTAAGCTTGACTAATGTCCTCTTGCCCCTTCTAGCCCTGTCCCAGCCCTACCTATGTCTCCTAGTTTGAGTTTCATGGTTGTCAAGTCCAAGACCTTATCCTTGAATGTGCCTTACTACACCCTTTCTCCTGTCTTCTCTCTATGCTTTGAAATGGTATCGTATTACTTACAAAAATAAGATAAAAGGAAATAGAACTGAAAGAGAAAATCATTTCTCGATTTTTGCCACTACAACAAAATGTTTTTGCCTTTGGGGTTCTCTTCTGCTCCTTCTTTATTTTGGGTACACATGTCCTTTTCACATTATTGCAATCCAGGGACAGATATTATGTTGTGCTCCTCCCTTCTCACTTGACATCTGACAACCAAGTCTGTTGCCTTCACTAGCTTTCTCTGTGTCCCTCTGCCTTTCTCTTCACCACCCCTCTCCTGGCCTGCACATGCCATCTCTGCAAAACCACAAACTCAAAACTCCTCGTTTCTCCTTTGCAGAAGCAACATTTCCCCCTCTGCCTGCCTGTCACCCCTGGGATGCACGTGGTCTCTTTGGCCAATTCTGTGCCTTGCTCTGCATATGGGCCTCTAAGTGTCATCCAGGGGAGACTTCCTCCTTGTGGTCTGTCTCCATCCCTTCCCTCAGGGAAATGAACACTTGTATTTTGGTTTCGGACCCTCCATCCAGTAAGTATTATAAGTTGCCTACCTGCAAAGGCTGCCCTGTGTGTGCTCTCTTCATTTTGCCCACAGCAATTATTCTCTGCTACAAGTTATTGTTAAACAGGAAACACAGTAATGAACCTATTGCTGTGACTTAGGACCTCTCAGCAAGTTAGGTGGAGTCGTGTGGAACAGCAAATGACTCTGGAACAGGGACTGCAAAGGATATGGTCTGTGGTCCTTCGGGATTTCCCTGGGGCAGATGTAACCCTCCATCATTATTACCAGCCTCAAGTCTTTGCAAGCAAAGTTCTGGCTGCTCTTTCCCTGAAAGGGCTGCAGCCATCACTTGGCAGGTGAGGAAGTAGAGACACAGACAAGCTCAGTGGAGGGAACCCGTGGCTGTATGCTAATCGAAAGTATAACTGGGACTAAGAGCCAATACTTTTTGACACACTCTTAACCCAATGCTTCTTCTACATTAACATAATTATTTCAAATACCATAACTATGATCCACAGTAACATATGGTGCCTGAGCTCTTCCTCTCCAGCCAGTATATTTCAAATAGGAATCCACCCCAATGTAAGGCCATACCAAAGTCTTAGCTCTGTGGTGTGTGTGTGTGTGTGTGTGTGTAAATTAAATATGCAAAAAGAGAATACAAGTCAAAAGCTGCTCTTAGATCCTCAGGAAACACTTAGAATCTTTGAAATAGTGCCATAGAAGTTTTCAGTCTAATCTTAAATTATCTAGTAATTGCTTTGTCTATTTCATCTATGAAGAGCACAAAAAAAATGAAATCTTCTTGAGATAAACTGAAAAGGTCCGAAGTAGCCACCTTTAGCAGCTGGCCCGTGGCATTCTTTTTAAGGGGTTAGATTTTCTCCAAGATGGAAATATGGACAACTGTGCAGTATGGTATCTCCTGCCCCCCTGTGGATGCGGAGGGAGTTACCTGTGAAGAACCAAATCAGTACCAGACAAGGGAAAGCATATAGGCATTTTCAAAGATGAGCAAGGGGATAATGACACCTATTAACATAATCTTAAGAAATTAAAGAGTCGTGCCTTGAGGTTAATTGGCAACAAAACATCCATAAATGAGAGATCTGCCCACCCAGAGAGACAGGACCAAAAGCAAATAGAATTGTCCTATCGTCTCAGATCTGTGCTGTTGTTATTTTAAATAATTATTATTTTATATTAATCTAGGAAGAGAAGATGCTCTTAAGTAAAAGAAAGGGTTTGTCTCTTTTATTATTTGATTGTTTAATTAAAGTATCACTTAAAAGACAACCTTTATACAAGTCACTGGGTATACTGAACTTTAGTATAGGCCTTACCCACAAGTGAAATAACCATTCTTTAAAGAACTCTGAAAATACACCCCAGGAAGATGTCATAGCACCTGAAATTTTGCACAAATGGAGTTACCTCTTTAGTTTTAGATATCGTCTTCATAAGACCTCAATTAAATACACACATCTAGTAGGATCCCCACTCATATTTTACTGCTATTATACTATTCCAAATAAATTGAAAAACTGATGATCTGATGAGCTATAGCTGTCTCCTATGTAGCCCAAAAGTAATGAGACTTAAGACTGGTGTATTTTGATTATAACAAAACAAAAAGAACTAAGGCAGTGGGTTCTTAATTCTGTTCCTTTGCACCCTAGAGCTTCCAACAAGAAGAATAAGGAGGAAACCAGCCAGGTGGAGCTCAAGTTTCCCACACTTGCTTCAGCCTGAGCAGTCCTGCTTTTTTTGTTTTTTCACATTTTCATAAAATTTCATCTGCAGAAAAGTTCCCTCAAAAAAGAAAAGAAAATGGACGCTATTGGCTTAGAGTACAAAACGGCGTTCCTCAAAGGGTGATCACAGGTGAAAAACCTGTGGAGACCTGAGCAGCAAGAGGGAAGGTGAGGACTCTGCTTCAGGGAAGAGGCAAACAAACTAACAAAAAAATCTGCGAAGAATACACCTAAGATAAAACTTCTTTAACTCAGACAGGGAGGTACCAGGCCCGTTAGTACCCTCTGCTTTTCCTAATGTATATCGAGACCAATTATTCCATTTCTTTATTTGTTTCTTTGACAGATAATTTACAGAGAAGTTAAATGAAATGAAGAGTTGTGTCGGATGACATAATACGCTGGGTCCCAGTTTCCCCCTCTCTATTAGCTAAACAGCATTCCAGCTAAATGAGAAATCAGAGATTCAGTTGGCCCCAGTCCTGCCACTGAGTTTGGTAGGAAATTAGAGTTCTAGTTCCAGACATTGAGAGAAGCATGAAGACTCACTGTAGGAATCAAAGCAACCTACTCAATGCTCTTTGTTTCCACTGCAGGGCGTGAAGATGTCCAACCATCTCATAGTTTGCCAACACCAATGGTTCTTAAAGTGTGGCCCCTGGACAGTAATCTCATCATCATCTGAAAACATGCTAGAAATGTAAATTCTGGCCAGGAGTGGTGGCCTCACACCTGTGTTCCTGGCACTTTGGTAGGCCTAGGCAGATTG